GATAGTTTTTTAAGACATCTGTCAATTTTATGACTTTTTTCCATTTGACATTTGAAATATGTCATTTTAAGTTTCAATTGTGCAATTATGTTAGCAGCTGTTAGTTTAGAGTCAATTTTAAGAGGAGTGAAAATCGAACATATTTTACTTTTTTTTTTATTGCTGTAAAGGCTTCATAATGTTGATTATTTAACAGAATACAAGTGTCAGAATTGGTTTAAAAAAAAATGTAGTTTATCACCACGTCACCAATTCAACACGTAAAAATCAATTAAATGTCATGGACTTGTTAAGAATCTCTACATTCTCGACATTCTCTATAAGAAATGCATTTGTTTGTGGATACTTCTTTGAATGATTTGCTGTTCAAAAAATGTGAATGTAGGACGTCGTAGATGAGTCCAAAGTGTGCGAAACCTTCTTTAAGTAACATGTTAAAAAAAATGGCGCGTGCATTTGTAAATATAAACAAGACGTTGCAATACTTTTATTTGTCTATTTTCGAGCGTCGAGACGGATCCTTGTCTTTTTTTGTTCTATCACAAAATAAACGACGCCGACGTCCGTTAGATTGACACGAGGAAGCGCCGCGGCGCTGCCTTAACATATCCCAAATAAATGGGCAACCGTTCAAAAACCCTTTTCGCTATATAAAAAGGATGAGAATGAAACGATCCGTTCCATTCAATCAAAACAATACGTTGGTCCATCTTGGGTCCATCTAGTGTTTCAATATAAGAAAAATTAAAACGTGTAAAAAGAAATGGATACAATCAAGTACAGTATGATCTTCTGGAATCGAGATTCGGGGTCGACGAAGATGACCCATGAGAAACTACGGTACGACGATGATCCTGTAAGTGCATACATGATGAAATATCTTGGTATCTACTGCTGCTGCTGTTAAGTAGGAGTTAAGAGGACTTTCTTAAAGTGGTGGATCGTCGATGTTGGCCAATTTGGTTTTGTGACCGACGAAGCGACAAACAGCTCACTTAATTCGGTCATTTTGGTATTAACATAAATTGTCGGTCACATAGAAACGACCACACGTGGCCCACTTCAGGCCGAAATAGAAAAATATGTCACTTGATCAAATTGGAGGAGGATGTACTGTATTTTCAATATATATATTTGTTAAACCGATGATAATCGTGACATTACATATAGTACACTTAAAGAAATATACGAGAACATTTTTAAATTAGAAAAATTCAATTTATTCAAATTTATAATAATAATATTTATTGAAACAGAAAATTACAAAAAAAAAAAAACTTCAAAGATCCTTGTTCCCGTCAAATTTATATTATATATTAATTAATAAGTCAGAAAATAAATGTTAAAAGGAAAATAATGTAAACTTTTATAGATTTTTTTTTAATATTACTAAAAGATATAGATTTGGCAAAAGTATTCATTCAATATTATTTAAAGGAATATAGATAATTGTTTTTACTTATATGTGTAATATTAAATTCGGAAGTATTGTTTTCAGTTTATACTGAAATAAACAATAAAAAAATAATACACTATTAACAATAAAGTATTGAGGGTAGAAACACTATATAGAAAATACGATGATTGATAACACAATAAAATTGTTAAATAAATAATAGAAAAAAATGGAAATTCTCATTGTAAGAATCGAATATATGAGATTTTTAAAAGAAAGTATTATAAACTTTAATAAATAGTTTCTGTTTTTCGTAAAATATCATTGATTTAAGTGATTCTTAATTATGTCATCTGTTATTGAAATTTTTGAATGTAATTTTTTCAAGCTTCTGTCAAAAACATAATACATTTTCAATACTTCAATTGTCAATGCATTGTATATAACAGGGGAGGCCAGACTTTTTGCAGCAAAGTCTGCACCTAAACTTTTTGGTATATAATTTTTTTAAAATCTCAGTCATAATATAAAAGATATATAATATTTGTGTTTTATTGTGGCTCAACAAGACTCTTGAAGAGCCGCATGCGGCTCGCGTTCCACTGTTTAGCCATCCCTGGTATATAAAGAAGTAGAAGAATACATTATTTGTGATTCATTCAATTTTATATTATATACATTGTAAAACCTAAAAACAGATTTGAAAGAAAATTATGTTACATTTCAATAAACATTTTTAAATTTACTGCATTGTGAAAGAAAAAAAAAAGTAACTAACAATAATTTAATTTTCAATAAAATAATCTGTATAACTTAAAAATTTGTCCTATTATGAATGATACTTGGAAAAATAAAGTTGATGGAAATAAAGATTTGTATATAATGAATCGAAGTTAAATCAAAATTACCAACAAAATAATAGTCTAAATCAGATCAGAAACAATTAGTAGATTTTCATCAATTAATAAAAAAGTTATAAAGAAAAAGATAATATTTACAAGAAATTTAGAAGAAAAACATATTAATTTATCAAGAAATGTGAAATATTTAATAATAAGTAAAAATTAACAGTTTTACGTTATTATAATTATACTAGTAAATACAGAAGAAAAATGGATTGAATTTTCTCTAAATTAATTTAGATTTGAAAAATGTTTTGCTTTACTTCGATCAGACCGGAAAAATTTCATAAATTTTCCATACAAAATTATTTGTTGTATACATAAATAAACGTTTTTTTCTCGCTCTATGGCAGAGGTGGCCAAACTGTGGCTCGCGAGCCGCATGCGGCTCTTCAAGAGTCTTGTGTCACAAATATTATATAAATTTTACATTATGATTGAGATTTTTTTAAAATTATTATACTAAAAAGTTTAGTGCTGCAAAAAATCTGGCCACCTCTGCTGTATAACAACGTTCTATACAGCAGTTTTCGATTAGTCCGGTTTCAAACAGTGAAGGAAATAATGGTAAATTGTAATTAAATTTTTTCGATTAGAATATCTTAATAAAGTTAAGCAACGAATATTGAGGATATTACTTGAATCATCATCATTTCCTAATTAACAATGTAACTATTTGCTAAAGAATATTAAGAACAATTAATTAATATAATGTTTTTATCTTTAGCCATTTTCGTGAGAAACCATCTAAGAAATTCAAATGATATTTGAGTGTAAATATTTTAGCATATATTTATAGAGAACTGTGATCATTATGAAATAATTAGTATATTTATATATACTGTAAAATTATTAAGCACGTGTTATTGGAAACGTTAATGATAATTATAATTAACTATTATCAACACACGTCAATGCTAATTATTATTAGGGAAATACACACTAATTTTCCCCAATTAAATTACTTCCAATTCTTAAGTATTACAATATGTAATAATTAATATTATAATTATTTACAATGAAGGTGTTAGCGTACTAAAATGTATCTAAATTGAATGTTTATAAATAATGTATTCGCATAGTGCGGTTCCGCAACTATTTCCGGACTAATCGAGGAATAAAATGCATTAACCGAACAAAAAGAGATTTGATAAAGACATTAATTTTGTGTACTATTTTTAATTTTTTTTTGCTGAATTAATTGAATCCGGACTGATCGAAGCCGCACTATAAATAGTAAAGAATTTCTATTTCAAGATAATAAAGTTATAATTAGTAACCTGCAGTGTTTGAGAAATGAACAAAATAATGAGAAGAAATGAATGCAGAAAATTCGAAAATAAAAATATAATTTTTTTTTATTTCTAATCTGTAAATATTGTACTAAAATGTATGTAAATTTAATGTTTTTAAATAATATATTTGCATAGTGCGGTTTCGCAAATGTACCCTGGACTAATCGAGAAATTAAATGCATTGAAAGATAAACCGAACAAAAAGAGATTTGATTAAGACATTCATTTTGTGTACTATTTTTTTTAAATTTATTTTGCTGTATTAATTGAATCCGGACTGATTGAAGCCGCATTATAAATAGTAAAGAATATCTATTCCAAGATAATAAAGTTACAATTAGTAACATGCAGTGTTTGAGAAATGAAAAAAAATGAGAAGAAATAAATGCAGAAGCTTTGAAAACAAAAATATGAAAATTCTTGATTTCTAATCTGTAAATATAGTACTAAAATGTATGTTCTAAATAATGTATTTGATTAGTGCGGTTCTGCAAATGTACCCCGGACTAATCGAGGAACTAAATACAATCAAAAATAAACCGGACAAAACGAGTTTTTTAAAGCCGTACTATGTGAGGATTAAATAGTATTTATAAACTACCGGATTAATCGAGAAAAATAAACCGCACAAAAAGAGATTTGTTAAGGATTTTATGAATCCGGACTGATCAAAGCAAAGCCGCACTATGTGAGCTTGAAATTGTGTTTATAAACTGAACTTATCTATTTAAATAATCTGGCTATCTTGAAATGTTTGGTTACTATCAGTTCCCAATAATCTTCCATAATATTTGTATACATTATGTAACATAAAATATCACTGCTCAAGTTTTTTAGGAATAAATCGCTTAATTACAAATTACATTAAGTTTCTTTTTTTGGTTTCTGCAATAAGAATTATAAATAGTAAAGAGTTTCTGTTCCAAGATAATAATGAAGTTGCAATTAGTAACTGGCAGTGTTTGAGAAAAGAAAAACAAAAAAAAAATAATAAAGCGACGAGAATTGAATGCGATTCATGCCAATTACGAATGTTGTTCGTTTCTATACACGATAACAGTTAGTTAAGTACAGTTTTTCCTTTCGGTTAGTTAGAAAATTCGCTTCGAACGAAAATAAAAATAGCGACGTCGTCGTCGTCGTCGAATGGCGAGGGCCATTTCGTTGTCAAAATCTTTTGCACAACTCGGTTCCATTTCTATTAATATATATATTATAATAAATACATTAGATGGGAGACAGAATGCGGTGTATCCACCAACTTCTTGTCTTTGTCATCGCCTTCGCAAACGGTGCTGCTGACCTAGTAGTGTACGTGTTGACACTGACTTGTGGCAACCGACGGTCAATATCGAACATAGTAGATAGTAGACGCGGATGTTTCTGAAATGCAATTCCCTCTTCCAGGATATCATCAGGAGGCTGTTTCATGAGGATTCGGACGACGACATGAGCTCGCAACAGACCAACTTGGCTTTCGAACCGGACGATGCCTTCACGAAATGGTAACAACATTTTCTTTGGAATTACGAACCAAACAATACTAAAATAATCATCATCTCTTGTAGTACCAATGATACCGGTGGTAAAACCAAAAAGGATCTTTACACTCTAGACGTCAAGGATACCAAATCCAGATTCGATGAGTACGATCCGTACGAACATAGGACCGTGGAACGCCCAACAACGTGAGTACACCGAAAAGAAGCGCGAAATGTTTGTTGTTCGCGCACAATTTCTTGACTCACTTTCATTAATTACAACATGAAACAATGCACCATTTGATTACTTTTTTTTCTGTGAAACTCCACTGTTTAATAGAGAAGAGAGCAAATCTGACCTTGGCCATAACATTTTTCTTTTTAAATAAAAAGTGTAACGCTATGCCAAGCATGCGAGTGAGGTCGAAAACGCGGTGTTATGCAATAATTCACCGCCAATGATCGCATGTTCTTCTCGCCGATATTTATTTATTTTCGTATTATTGTTATTATCGTAGTTCTTTGCTCTTTCGCCAGAAATAATCCATCTATAAAGTAGGTTCAAAAACGTAGTTGGAGTAGTTAATGTTTATAAATAGTGAGAGGGTCGATTTTTTAACATTGTTTCATCGATTTTTCTCGAATTTTTTTTCATTTGCTTCAATTTTATATTATTTTTTTGGTGTGAAAATATTTGTTAACCCGAAAGTTCTAAAATCATTATTTAAATCTTTATATTTAATTAATACTTCAAAAGTATAATTATCAAGATTGTTAAAATTTTCAATTTCATGTTCTTAATTGATATTATTTTCAAACCTTTTCATTATGCTTTAATTTTAAATAATTATTTGCTGTGAAAATGGAACTTTTTTTATTAAATCGAAACTTCTAAAATCATTTAGATTTAAATAAAATCTTTACATTTGATTAAAATTTCAAAATTATCAAGATTGTTCGAATTAAAACAAAAACATAACCACTTTAATATCTACAGTTATACAATAATTCTCTGAATTTTTATATATTTACTCAAGATTGTTGAAATTTAAAACAAAAACTTAATTAACAAAACATAACCTTTTTAATATCAACAGTAATTTTTAATTATTTTAATCATAATAATTATTCTTCTTCAATCTGTACATTTTTAAGATTAGAACATCAAAATTATCATTTATATATTCTATAGCAGCGGTTCTCAACCTAATAGTCGTTGAATCGCATTATTTTGTTTGATAGGTTGCGAAATGACAGCTGTCACCTTGTGTCAAAGCGTTAACATTTTTATTTTATAATTTCTTGGGCAAAAAGGTTGAGAATCTGTATCTGTACATAATTATCTAATTAGCTAATTCTAACCACATTCATTTACTTAATTTTGAAAGTTATTCAACTATTTTTTAAAATTTATTAAAATTTACTTTTCTATAGGTATTTTTTAAAGAATTTCACCTTTATTTTATAATCTGTTGGGTCGCAGTACAATTACAAATATATTACTTAAAGCAGCAAAAAGGTTGAGAAACGCTGATCTATCTAGTACTTGATTATCTAATGGTTAATTATTATCACATTAATTTACTTATTTCCAAAGTTATTCAACTGTATTTTAAATATATTAAACTTGACTTTTCTACTGTCAATTTAAATATAAATTCACCTTGTGTTAATGCGTCAAAATGTTTATTTTATAAGGTTGAGAAACGCTGGCCTATAGAATATATGATTGTCTAAACATACTTCCAATTTTATTCAACATTTTTTTTTTAATTTATTAAACTTTACTTTTAGTCAATTTTTATAGAATATCACCTTGTTTATATCACCTTTTATTTGATTATCTATTGAGTAACAAAAAGGTTTAGAGACTCTGATCTATAATACATGATTAGAACCAATACTAAGCATATTTATTTACTTACTTCCAAGTTTATTCAACATTTTTTTGTAAATTTTTTAAACTTTACTCTTCTATAGTATTTTTTTTTGTAAAATTATTTAAGTTTGCGTTGACGTAAATTGTATCTTCTTAAAATTCTTCATTACAAAATACATCTAACTGTATAGTCCAAGTATACATTAAATTTAGATCCAACTGATCTAGTATAGTCTAATTTAGTCTATTATAGTCTATATATCTTCATTTCTAAAGCAATATCCTATACAATTCTACCAAAGAATAAACTATCCTTGAAGTCTCAGTATATAAAATTAGGTAGAATTTAAATTGTAAATTTAAAAAAAATCCTATAATATTTTGTTACATATTCTTCAAAAGTAGTAACGATTATTATTAATTAGATAAATTTACATGAAATGTTTGTACTTTGTTTAATATAATAAATTTGATAGAAGTATAGGAAACCAGACAAACATTTTTAAATTATCCATAGTTTTTACCAAAACTAATTATTTCTGAAGTTAATTAACTGAGGTAATTGGATAATATTAGTAATTTATTTATATTAAACTTAACATAAATTATATATTTGTTAACATAATTGCTTTATAGTTCACATAAACTATACTTGAATATTGAATTATAATGTAATTGTATTCTACTTTTATTACTTCTTTCTTTCAGTTAATTTTATTTATAATTTCTTTAAATTCAAACTGAACACAAACTATATTAAATAGAACAATAGTTTATTGTAGATAATATAAATAATAGGTATTATATAAATTATATAATTGTCTTCTTGATTGGAAATTCAACAATATCTGAATGGATATTTTAGATAAAATGTTAAGTTTAAGGATGTATGTTTTAGGAATACGGAAACTCTTCTGCATCTGCTGAAGGGCAGTCTCGGTACCGGCATTCTAGCGATGCCGAAAGCATTCCACCATTCCGGTTACATTTTCGGTCTCGTCGGGACGATAATCATAGGGTTAATCTGCACGTACTGCATACATTTATTGGTGAGAGCTGAATATGTGCTGTGCAAGAGGAAGAAGGTGCCCAGCATGACGTACCCAACAACGGTAGAGGAGGCCTTCGCCAATGGACCATTACCATTGAGAAAGTTCGCTCCGTACTCTGGGTATGTATTCAACATCATCATCTTCAAGATGGATTAAAATCAATGATGACGATCTCTTGCAGCCACATGGTCAATGCATTCCTGCTGATCTACCAAATAGGCACGTGCTGCGTTTACATAGTCTTCATCGCCGAGAACATCCAGGCCGTTCAGAAAGTCTACTCGGAGAAAATAAGCCTTGTGTATTTGATGCTGATGTTCCTTCTCCCTCTGATCTTGCTGAACTGGGTGCGAAATCTGAAATTGCTTGCACCGTTCTCCACTCTGGCCAATCTGATCACCCTGGTCAGTTTCGGTATAGTTCTGTACTTCCTGATCGATGAGGGTCCGACCTTCAAGGACCGAGAACCGCTCGGAGAAGTGGAAAATCTTCCGCTCTTCTTTGGAACGGTTCTCTTTGCCTTGGAAGCAATCGGCGTCGTGAGTTTTATATTAATAAACAAACCGTGATCGACTGTTACCTTTCTTTTTCGTGAAATGCTTTTCAGATCATGCCTTTGGAGAACGAAATGAAAACGCCGAAATCGTTCGGTGGAGGCTGCGGTGTACTGAACAGTGGAATGTTTACAATCATCTTCTTGTACGTCGGAATGGGTCTCCTAGGTTACCTGACGTACGGTGAAGCCGTTGAAGGTACAATCACGACCAGCCTTCCAGTTGAAAATATGTGAGTTGATCTATTAAAAACAAGTATAAATCAATAGTTTCTAATCATTTTTTTTTTGTTTAATATATAGATTGGCTCAAGTTGTTATGCTGATGTTGGCTCTCGCTATTTTCATCACTTACGCTCTGCAATGCTACGTGGCCGTCGACATCACGTGGAACGAGTACTTGGCTCCAAGGGTGTCCAAGGGCAAACGCAAACTGTTCTACGAATACTGCATCAGAACTTTGATTGTACTCATCACTTGTAAGAGCAACAGCAACAAAAAAAACACATTCAACTTAACACTTACAAATTGTGATTATCAATTACAGTTGGAATCGCAGCTGCTGTACCTGAACTGGACCTCTTCATCTCGTTGTTCGGAGCTCTCTGTCTGTCCGCATTGGGCATAGCGATCCCAGCTCTCGTGGACATGTGCACTTATTGGCACGATTACGAAGGTGGTCGCTTCTATTTCGGCGTCATCAAGAACCTTCTGATCGTCACCTTCGGCATCTTCGGTCTGATCGTCGGCACCTACACGAGCCTCAGCAAAATCGTCGATAAATTCAACAAATAAAACTTTATTAATAAAGTCGTTATATTAATAATAATAATAATACATTGCGTGATGATGTGATTTTTCATTCTAGTCTAATAGAACACATTGTGCGTGAATTTACTCGTAAGATGTTGCATCTTTATATATATATATTTACATTTGCTATTTCTGAGCAATTATTTTTTTATATAATAGTCGAGAGTGTTTGCAAATAACTATGTAATGTTTATACGTATTCTCTGTGCATGTTTAGTAATTGAAGCAACGTTTCAAATACTTCAATTGTGTTACAAATTATTGTATTTTTTAGATGAAAAAGAATTTGATGAAAATTTAAGGAAAATTGATCATGTAAAGCCATTTACAAGCAACACACACAAAAAAAAATGTATATAATTGTAGTTTGTATTTTATTATTTATTTATAATGTTTAATAGAAGCTAAGCAATGAACTGTTACTATTACAATTCCATAAATGAATATTATTAAACTATAGTAAATTAGTTTTATTGATTAATATAAGTTTAACATATTTATTATGAATATAATTGATCCAAAATTACTTTGTTTTTTTTTTCATTGTTGAAATAATTATGTATAAGAAGTTGCCTATAATCAATTAAGGTTCTTTCATTAATTGTATTATGATATGCAATAAAATAATAATTAAATTATAGCGAATAAGTAGAAATAGATAGTAAATTTAGTTAATCTTATTATTTTAAGGCAATAATTAGAAATTATATTGTTAGTAATTAAAATAATTGAAAAAAAATCGTTGCTTTTCTATAATAAAAAGTGTTGTTTTTGAAGTCTAATGTAAATGTTAAATTTTAACAATTATTATTTTTAATGTTAAATGTTTTGTTTGAGAATAGTTATTGTATGTATTTGTATTATATGTTTTAATAAAATAAGTATATTTACACTTGATTACAAATGTTTATTAATTTTCTGTAAATTCGTTAAAAACTATGTCGGAAGTTTTCTATACTTTTTAACTGATTTTGTTTTTGTATATGTTTGAAACATGTGTCTACATTCTGTTACCCAACATTTTATCCGCTATCCAGATGGCAGAGTCAGTTTTTAAGAAGAGATTATTATGATTTACTGCTTGACTTGATGGAATATTCACAGATAAATTATTTAGTTTCAAAACATATTCTGGGCTTAATAAGTGCAATAGTTTTAATTTATTATAAACGAACAAGTCAACTGATTTATAAGAGATTACTTACATAATATAAGATTTTTATTTTATTAATTTGGAAGAGAATTATATGAAAACTTACAAAAAAATTTATTAAGTAAAGTAAAATTTATTTTTGGTTTGAATTCAAATTATGTAC